CCTCCTCTCTCTCTCTCTCTCTCTCTGTCTCTCTTCTCTTTCAAAGTCCTCTTTTATCTTTCCTTTTCTTCCTCGTTCCTTTTTCCAAATTATCTCATTCGATTTCGACAATCGTCTACGAAAAATTGAATCGAATTGAATTCCTCCAACGTTCGAGTTCGAGGAAGGGAGGCACTAAAGGGGCGCACGAAATCACGAGCGGCCGATATTTGATCGCTGGGCCACGAAAAGGCGCGTCCCTACGCGTACGACTGGTGCGGCGCCGCCGTCCAACTGACTTTCTACGTTACGCTGCAGCAGTGGCGACGCGCCGCGCCGCGTCACGCCGCGTCGTCGCGCGCGCTTATCTTCCCGTACCTGTGTGCCCCCCGATTTTCCGAAGTACGTGTGTGTCTGTGTGTGTGATTCGTAGCTTGGTGTGCGCTCGCTTTTCGGCCTGTTCCCCTTCGATGTCCTTCTTCGAGGCCAGTTCCTGCTTCCGGTTGAAGTCGATCGTCCATTCTCCGTATTTCTAATCTCTCGAAGAAGAGTTTCACTTTGAAGTGGAATGCAAGTTCGCTGCAAGAAAATTTTTTAATTATACACACTTCTGGATCAATTCTAATAAGTTTTTGAAACAATCTGAATATTTCACGTTCCCTATATATGACGTTTGTTCTATATGCATATTCATGTAATATCATAAAGTATTTTAAATTATGGTTGTATATGTTACTTTACACTGCTGCATTCTGTTATATATTTGTTATATTAATATATTTATGCTATTGTACGTTATTCTATAATATTCTACATTATCTATATCTATTGTAAAAATATTTAAATATATATATATACATTATGAAGTTTGTGAATAAGTGATTCTTTATTTTTTTAGGTTAGATTCGAATAATTTATTTTGATTGTTACTAAAGATTAGTAAAAATTATTTATTATATAGATATATAAATTAGATATATAAATTATATTTATCACGATATTTTAATTTAAAACAAAAGCGAAATAAATTAATTTACATACCTAATATAATATACATATGATATATTAATTGTAGTAAAATCTAGTGTTATTCCACATAATAAATTATAAAAATATAATAATTTATAAATCTTATTTTTCTCAAGTTTTAATCAAAATTTCAATTACATCGCACAATTTATATAACTCTGAATATTTTTTTTATGCATAAAAAATATTTCATCATCGTCATCATCATGAAATATTATTTTCGTAAAAATAATTAAAAATCCTAAATTTTATTAAATTTAATTTATCCACTATTATTAAATTCTTCTATTTTAAAAATTCTAAAACTTTCAAATCTTTTACGTCCTTAAATTTTAATTAAAATTACAATCGCGCGACACGATCTCTGACTCTGAACATTTTTCCACGGATAAGTCCATCCTTACGCCCGCATCTTGCGCGCATATTGTGCATTTATGCAGCATATATTATTATAAAATTCAATGCACAGCGATAGATAGTAATATTTTTTTTAACGTTAGTTCTACAACATTTTGCCCGGAATATAAAAGTTTTTTAATTATCATTTTATCGATCTCCCACCAAACACCCTCGTTATCAGTTTTGTTCAGCGCCACGTTAAAGCTTCCCTTTCATTCGCGTTCCGTCGCTGAAATTTGTCGCATAATCGTCGAGTCGTTTCAAAGGTAACAAATTCCGCAATTTCGAAACTCGAAATTCATCATTCATATTGTTGTTTTTGCGACGGTAACAATCCCATTACACGGGCACGTAACGTCGATAAAATATCCTTGACAAAGTCGCTATTAAATTTTCAAAACGGATTCTCCGTTTATTATCTATAATTATTGCGCCATATTGCGTTATTTATACTCAACTTTATTATTTATAGTTATTGTATCTACTACTATCATTTCTATCTTTATTATTTATACTAATTATCTCGCTCTATTATTCATACAATTTTGATGCGATTAAATATATCTCAGATTACACAATTCCTCTCTTTCTTTTTTTAATATATTTTTTTTTTTCATTTTTACTCTTGTTTTATTCATTTCTATATACGGTTCTTTTGTTTTAATTTGATTCAGTTTTATATGATTTTGTTACGCGAACGAATTTTAATGTGTTATATTTTTTCAATATATTATATTTTCATATGTTTTATTTATTTTTTATCTTCAAAGAAACGGATAGATTCGAATTATATATGTTATTGCCAAGATATATAACTTAAGAGAAACTTTAAGAGAACTTTAGATTCAGATAATTTCAAGTAACTTTTTTAATTTTGAAAAAATTTCCATTTCATCTTGTTAATGAAATACATTATAACAATATTATAACATTATAACATTTATTTTCCTCGATATTTTTCTTTTATCGAATAAAATCTTGTCATCGAGTATAATTCTATATTTTAAATAGCTTTTATTAATGTTTACTTCAAGTTGAAAAATTATAATCTTGCCTTTATCAATAATAAAAGATCAATTAACTTATTATTTCTGTGTTTATTTCAGAATTATTTAATTCTTACTAATAGATACTAAATTAATTTATTGTCAAAAAATTTTTAAAAATTTAGGAGATATCATAACTTGAAGTTCATAAAATCAATCTTAAAAAGCAAGGAACACACAAATATTTCTGCTTTTCTTATTCTTCATATGGTAATTTTTTTTTGAATTTTCATTTACAATGTCTCTTAATTAAATTAAACATTTTTTGATATAAATAGCTTTATAACAAGTACGATAATTAATACAATAAAAATTACATGCTTGAGAAATTAAAATTGATCTACACATAAAAAAAACAATTAAGATTACGCAATGCACTTTTTTATATCAATTAACTTTTTTATATCAATAGAGACAATTATACACAGTCTAACAACGTAAATAAAGTAGTTAAAAATACAACAATGAATTTTTTCAAAATTTTTTACACGATATATACGTACGCAAAGTAACGATGTTAATCTGAAAAACTCCAATGTATTCCATTTCGAACGAATCGAAAGAATAGCGCGTTGAAGTCTTAAAATCATACATCTTTTACATTTTCTTAGGAAATCGATCGAAACGCATCGAACACAGAAAATTCTTTGGTTTCCTCACCATTCACCTGCAGGAAATCCCATGATCGACCGGCACAATATTGCCTGCGTATAATGCATAAAGCGCGCGCGCGATGCATACACTGATAACTGCAGCGTGAATGCATGCTGCAATAACGTTGATGCAACTGGATATGTAAACGATGGGTATTGACGAGAATATCGGCCAGAGAAATCAAATGCGTTCTCAGCATCTGTGAAGAAACGTGGATTCGTGGAAAATGATTTAGTTTCTTAACACTTGTGTGAATAATATTCAAATGTAATTTATGATATAATAATTCGTGCGTACTAAAAATAAAAAAAAGAAAAAGTATTTGTGTGAAAAGTGGAAAAGTAGAAGTGATAATTAAAAAAATTTATAAAGATTAATTTCAAGCGTTTTATATTTTTAAGCTTTTTAACAAAGTATATTTTTTATAATTATAATAGTTTGTTGAATATTGTTGAATATGTATGAGAAATAAAAAGATAAAAATAATTGATTAAATTAGAGAAATGGAATGGAAATCAGTAAGGTAACTGTAGTTAATGGTCACATGGCGCTAGTATCGCGTCATTAGTCGTCACAGTGTTAATTAGAAATTAAAGAATCTATAGGAAAGTAACTCCAGTAATTTGAATAAACAGATATCAATTAAAAATCCAATTCTGTTTCGAGCATACTATATATAAATTCATAATCAATTATCAATATTAATCAATATTAATCAAATTCACTCAATATTAGGTTTTCATTGAAGTAATTTCAGCTTTGTGAGAATACAAAAACAAAAATTTACTATAATATAATCCATATATCAAATTTTCAAAAATATTACTGATGTTGTATGGATATTCAAGTACATTTTTAAAGCTTGGAAAAACAGTCTATGAAATCAGAGATTCGTAAATTCTCTCTTACTCTGCTCGTGCTAATTTTTACAATTTTTCACTTTGACGTGAAAGCGAAACAAAATTTCACAGTCATCACGAATAATATCCTTTGATTTAGAGCATCCTTGAAACATTATACTGTCAAAAATCGCAATTAATAATTGAGCATTTAATAACGCAAGTTTCTTTCTTTGCTCTCTTCCATCGTGGTCAGGTGAAAAAAAAAAAAATCGTGAAATTTTCTGTAGGAACTTCGTCGCGAGAAACTGCGGTAGATTGGCGCATTAATGAAAGTTCAACTTTATCCACCGGCTAATTAACGGAATCATCCGTTGCCCGTCCATGAATATTTCGAAGGGATGAAAAATATTTTTGTAGCCGTGCCACAGTGACGAAACCTCGGCCAATATTTGCACACGGGCCTGTTTGATCAGACAAATTCGTCGAATTTATTCTGGTTAATATAATTAATTCGCGAGAAGAAGAAGATATTCTCGTTTTCCATTTACACTGTTGATTTTATCTCAAATAACGAGAAATATATCGATCGTGAAAAACTAAAATTTTGTGATCTTTGTAAAATAGAATTACCACGATATTTTATTTCATAAGTGTAAAAAAACATTCTCAGAATCAATTTGAAAAATATCATACAAGAAATTATAGATAAATGTAAAAGATAATAACAAATATTTTTAAGAAATTGATTCAGTGAAAGAAATTCATTAAATAAGTATAGTCTTGGTTGGTTTCACAATCTCGTCACGATTATAAACGTAACTATATCACTTTTCTAGCTAATAATATGCCTATACTATATGCTTAATTATAATGATAATTATAAGTAGTTATACTATTTATCTATTATACTATTTCCTCATTACTATTCTATGATTTGATTGTTTTATTTATATGATTGACATGTTTTACTTAGTTAATTATTAATTATAACTATATATTCTATTTGATTGTTCATGATTGAATTATTTTATTTATCTGATTGTGAATAATAAAATCAAATAATGCTTTTATATATAATCTTTTTTTCATTTTGCTAATTCGCATTCTAAATATTTATTATTGTTACAAGCAATGTCTGTAGAATGTCATGGCAAATATGAACCACGGCACAGGAAATAACAATATCGGTTATATCATCGAAATTAAACATATCGATTAAACGAAGTCTGATATCGGAGCAGAGCGGACGTGTCATCCTCTTCTCTAGTAATTTTCTCTAATATTTAATGTAATTCTGTAATAAAAAAAATTAATATCGTAATAAATAATCTTAATTAATATTAAATTGTAATATTAGTGTGAATAAAATTATCATGAAAGAGTGTCAAATTCGGATAATAATATAATATATTTCTCACACTTTCTACGTGTAAATTGATTAATTGTGAATTGACTAAAGTGCAATCTACAATCTTTCTTTAAATAATTATAAGAATAAAATTGTGTGTAAACTATAAAAATCTTCTTCTTGATTGATTTATAATTCTTGAAGCATCATAATAAATTATTGTTATTCCCAACAATCATGTTCTGTTACATAATCGTGTCGTATACAGAAGCAGTTCAAAACAAGAAAATGTTAAAATAGCTTTATTATATTATTTTTCCTTTTAGCGTGATATTTTTATTTGATTGGCACGTGTTATATCGGTATAATAAACAGAGAGCCGAAACGAAATTTCTTTATGGTTATCGACATACCTCCATGTCGATAATTATTCATATTGTAAAATTTCTCGATTGTCTCAGTCGTTCAAGAAGAACCAATTCTCGTTTGTATTCAATTCTCTTTAAGCTTGTATGTTGTTTAAATTTAAGACTAAAATTCTAAAATAAAATAAACTGTAAATAATTTTATATCTCGTAATTTTATATCTCTGCCCTTATATGTTATTTTTCTCAAGTATTTTAAGAAAGAAATAAATTTATATTATTTATGTATATAATTCGTTCGTATGAAAAAATTTAAAATCTTTTCATCATCAGAATGCTAGTAGTATCTTACTTTAATCGCGATAAAAATCGCAGAGAAATAATTTATTCTTATCTCTGAAACATCTACTTGTAGAAAGAACTCATTCGTGCAACGCACGAAATAAAAGAAACTATATATAGAAAAATCGATAAAAAAAATCGTGTTGCTTATCTCTAGATATAATCTCGAAATTTATAGCAAATTACACTTGCCACACTTCTAATCATTCTTAAGTTGTGTTAATTACACAATTATTAATTATAATTCGGATTTTGCTCGGACGAACAAAATGAACGCGATGAACGTTTTCCGACGGCATCAAGTTTCTTTGAAACAACCTCGATACCTCGTTCGATATCTAAACTGTTTGCGACATCGTTAAAAACGAATATATAAATATTCGTGTCATATATAATATAAAAATTTAAAAATAAAAATTCAGGATGTTAATGTATTCGTGAGACAGTTACTTCAATTGCTTATAATTTAATAAATAAATCTCAATCATTTTAGCAACTTTTATATTCTTTTAAAAGTATTTTATTTTTAGAATTTTTTATATCTAATATTTTATCAAAATTAATTTTACTATTATGTTTCCCTTCTAATAGAACGTTTCAATAGACAGCATTAATTGTAACGAATACACATGATAATTAAATTTGGGATTTGATGAATTTTTCTCTTGATTACAATGAATACAATATTATAATAACACGAAACAAAATGTATAATTTTCTTTAGAGAAATAGGATTAATAATCTCAATTTCTAATGGATTAAAAATTATATCAGCTCTAAAATCTATGTAGAAATAATTTTGAGACGCAATATTAATTAGGAATTAATTATCAGTGGAAACTATATTTATAATAAATTATTAAAATTAACTATTCTACCATTGATTGATATTTAAATGATAAAAAAAAAACAGTCAATCAATTGAATAAAATGCGAATAATAAAATTTAAAGGGGGAAAAAAACAGAAGAAGGAAAAGAAAGATAGAAAAAAATAATGAAAGGAAGGAGACACGATCGATTAGGAAGAATACGGAAGAAAAGAGGGATCGTGAGAATAGTAACGGCACGCTCGATGCCACTTTGAATCTCTTATAGAATTCCACGGAGAAATGCCTTGCAGCATCCCAACAAACAGCAACAGTCCTCATCTCTTTTCTATCGGTGAACTTATCACGACCATTTCTCCTTTTCTCCTCGCATTTTCTTCTTTTACTTATCCCACTGCTGACCCACATGGTCGCCAACTTATATCTGCTTCCAATTAAAAGAGCGGAATTGGATCGATTTAAAAAAAAAAAGCCAAAATCTCTTTGAATATACGAAGAAAAATCCATGCGTCGACAGAAGGTTAAAGGCACGTGAAGAATTCTTTCAGCTGGAGGCTGTTCTTGCCTCTCGATACCCTTTTTCTTCCTCTGTATGGATATTTTCCTCTTTGATGCGATGTCGATGGAAATTAGGAATAGAACATTTTAAATTTCAAATGCTTTTTGAAATTCAAACCGAGAATTATGTGTTATAACAATTATAATTTATATCTAGACTTTTATATGTTATATCTTTTAATGTTATATTATTTTAATATTAGAATGATGATAAAGTCTGATGATAATTCTGGTTAAAATATAAAAAAATATTATAAATGATGACTAGACTTTTACAAATAATATTTTGAATTAATATAGCTGAAAGAATAAAATCTGAATAAAAAATTTATTTTAGGATCATTATTCTAAATTTGGATATAAAATATTTTATAAATATATAAAGATCTTTAATCCAGTTGTGACATTAATTTATTTTATTTATTTAACTAATAATAATTTAATTGAACTTATCTAGTAATAATAATCTAAATGATAAATAGAATATTTATGCAAAATTATATTTTTATAAGCATTTTTAAACACATCTTTATAAACACGGATAAATTGATATAAAAATCAACAGAGGTTATAATAAATATTATTAAATTCCTCATAAATACATAAACATCCATGATTTACTTTTAAAATTTTATTTACAATATTAATCCATTTATATCCAAAATAGCCTAATTAAATATTACCATTTTAATTCTATCAAAGAATAATAATAAAATAACAAATTTAAATAATCTAATCTAAAATATAGATATCAAAAAACATATAGAATCTATTCACAACCAAAATCATTTAAAATGTTTCGTTAATATATCTTCGAAAAAAAAATGTTTATCATATTATAAACTATTTAATTTATTTAATGAATTGAATTTTAGAATAATCTCATTTATTCCCAATCGAAGTTGATGATTCTTT